TATCAATCTAGTTTTATGCATAAATATCAAGGTAATCAATGTCTTTACGTTCAAAAAAAAATAGCTACTAATAATTATCAAATTGAGGTTTTTCATAAGGAAGAGAAAATTGCAAATTATAATGACATTTCACCAACTGTGGTTTGGGATAAAACTAAAATATTGAAAAATTTTAATGGGAATACATTATTTGGAATTGATCATACTATTACAATTGATGCATTCAAAAAATATTCTGTATTACCAATATGTAATATCACAGGGTGGAATGATATTGATATAATGACTCAAGCTTTTGAACAATGTTTAAAACGATCAATTGCAGTTGTTGGAGTTAATTGGTATCAGTTTTTTGTAAATTGGAAAGAGCAACCATCAACTATTATAGAATTTACTGCACATCTTAAAAACACATATCCAGCAGATTATGTTTTTACAGATCGTGAATTTGGGGCTTGGAGGGCAATGATGAAAAAGTTGGATGCACAAAAATATCACCATATAAAAGAAAAGAATCAAAGGTAAATTTTTTTAGTTATATTGTTATGCATTCAGAAATTTCATAAAAGAAATTTTTTTTCTTTTTTTAGCTGGAATTTTGGACATGTTCAATAGATTATTCTAGTGATCATGCAACTCTTGAATATTTATATACTATGAATCTGCTGAATGCTGGTCCTTCTAAATTACAAGAAACAAAAACACAAATTGAAGACAAAGAATTGCAAAAAACTGTTGATTGTTTTTGGAAAAGCTTTGATGAAGCAATGCAGGTTAACAAACGTGGATTAGATGGAAAGCAACGTATATTATCTATTATTACAAAAAATTTTGGGCATAGAGAGATTCAAAATAACTTGCAGGTAACATTTAAATGTAATGAATGATTGTGTCATTGTTAAAAATATCAAATAATTATCTTTTAGGTTTCAAATGATTTGGTATCTGCTGCCAAGAGATATAGCCATGTAAATGGACCTGGATGTCCACCAAAAAATAAGCCAGTTGTAAAAAGAAATTATATATCTGAAATAAAAAATAAAGAATTTGAATCTTTTTTTTCTGATAAAAATAATGTTACTATGAGTTCATATCGTGTTGATCCAAACACCAATTTACCATTATTATATTTGAAAGATAATAAGCAAGCTCTTTGGCAAAAATTTAAAGCAACTTATCCTGATGGTATTAAAAGGACATCTTTCATGGCACGTTTGGCAAGTGGTCATTATGTATATAGAGAGGATTTAGGAGGATTGTGCAATATCTGTAATGAATATTGTTATGAAGTATTTAATAATTTAATTAATCTAATACAATTAAATGTAGAAAAGGGATTACAGGTATATAATTCAGAAAATAAAATATGTACAGTTAAACCTTGTTTCAATGAATCTATGGGAACACACAAGAAAATTGCATCTAAATCCATTATATGTGAAGCAAAAATTTTAAAGATTTGTTGTAACGCGAATTAATTATTATAATATTATCCGTTGTATGTGAATTTTATTATTATCGTCATTCGTTGTACACGAATTTAATTATAATTCAATTTGTTGGTTGGAACAAGATTCATTGAAGTGAGGTTTGACTGTAACTAATTTTACTATTAAAAAAATTTTTTTTTTTTAAATTTGTTTTTATTAACAAGCTTCAATGTTTTTTTTTATAGAATAAATTAATAAGTGAACTTGAAAAATTACGACACCATCTAAAAAGAGGTTTTGAAAATGAGCTTACAATAAATGAAAATGGCACAATACCTCATGTAAATACAATAAACCATTGCTTATTGTATGCATTTGGAGAATGTACACAAGAACATTATACTCGTTGCATGATGTGTGATCAGTTATTTGAGTTTATTGAAAAATTGGTAGTTATACTTCCAGAAAATCTTCGGAACACAATTGAAGAGTCAAGATATAAATTATATTATTTTTTAGCTCACCAGGCAAGAAAATTCTATTTAAATAATCAATTTAAAGCAAAGCTTTTAGAACTTGATGAAAATGGTGCAATTCTAATATGTGATTATAAGATGAGAATCTTACCTAAGAGTGCATGTGAAACCAAGGAGCAGTTCTTTGGAAAGAGAGGATGGACACTTCACACAATTTTAGTTTTCACAAAAAACGAAGCCACCCAATTAGAGATTCATGCATATGATCATTGGTCCACTGATACCAAACAAGATGCTTGGTTTACAGCATCATCTTTTGATGCAGTTTTTGAAACATTGGACCCCAAGCCAAAATGGATCAAAATTTTTTCAGACAATGGTGGCCACTATCACAATTCCGAATTAATGACCATTATTGCAAATTGGAATCAATGGTACAATATAGAAATTCGCGGGTGGCAGTTTCTTGAGCCTGGTGAAGCAAAAACCACTGTTGATTCACACCATGCACAAGTAAGATATTATAGTGAAATTGAATATACAAATAAAAGAATTTTAATCAAATAAAAATACTTCTCTTTTAGATATCCCATGCCATAAAAAGATATGTACGAGTTGGTTACAACTTGGATGATGGTGAAAAAATAGAACCAGCAATCAAAGATTTAGGTGGAACCTCAGTTGCTCATATTGAACCCAAACGTGACCACATTCCTGTAAAAACCATTCCTGGAATTTCAAATCTGTCCTATTTTGAGTGGCCAATTGAAGGATTATTTTCTGGTTATATTCAGGCACAAACTCTTCCACATATAGGTGCATGGTCACGTTATTCTTCTGCTGATATATCAAAATTGACCAAAGAACCATTACACAAGCCAAATCCAGATATTTCAAATCATACCATACCAAATTCAATATGGAGTTATCCTATAGTTGAAGGTAAACTATTAAAAATATTTATAATTGAGATATAACAAATAATTCTAATATTTGAATGGTCTTTCATAGATAAAAAGAATAAGAATAAGTTAGAAATTATAAATAATGATAATAATGATCCAATGCATCCTATAAGTATTGACCTACCTTTTATTATTGTATTATTAAGAACAAGAATTATTTCTAAAATTGTAATAAATTTTTTTTTTAGATATAAATGAAAAATTTCAATTAGAAAAAGGATGGGCTCTCAGGAGTAATCATAAATATGGTCAACGTGGTAGTGGAAAACGTATAACATCAAAAGTTAGAACTTATTTGGAAGGATTTTTTTTGGGGGGAAATGTAAGCAAAACAGATAGAATGTCAGCAAAAGATATGATGGTGGAGTTAAAGAAACTAATGGAAGAAGGTGAAATTCAAGAAGAGGAAGTACCAGAAATCAAAACTATTGAAGGATGGATTACAAGATATTCAGCAACCTTACGTAGAGAATCAGCAGAAAAGAGAGTAGCGGAGAATAACAAAAGTAGTATAGGTTTTGAAAATGATGGAGGAAGTGCTCATGAGAAACAGAAAAGACAAAAAATAAAAAATTCTGGGAAGTAATGAATTTGAAATTATAAATTTTTTTAAAATTTTATTATGTTTTAGTCTATCAAATCTCACTTTCCTCTATCAGTCACAGGACATGTCACGCAGATCAATAGGGAGTTGTAAAACATTACAGGAGGGAACGTACTGGGAACACAAAATTAACAGGAGGGAACACAAAAATTTAACCCATGCAATTTTGTTGAT